TTACCGGAAGAGAACTAATATACCGGTCGGTTCTGGAATTTGATACGGGATCGACGGTAAACATGCTCTCGTCGGTAAACAGGATTAACGGATTTTTTCGCTTCAGGAAGTTCAAGATTTTCTTGCATCGTTCGACTCGTAGCTCCCGGATGCGGTTGGTAATAATGTGAGTTTTTTTTTCCGTGCCCTCGACATCGCCCCGCAATCTTCCTTTACGATCTTCCGTGCCGTAAAGTCACTGATCCTGTGTTCCTTTGCCATTTTCCTTATTGAACGCACTGGATTCACCCGAATCTTCCTTTTGATAGCAGCGATAACCATCGGAACCCGAGCTGACCTTGGACGACATGTGGCCACCTTTCTTTTTCCGGTCTAAAACCCTTTTGACGGTCCACCGGGACACTCCCACGGCGATTGAAATGTCTTTTTACGACATTTGCGCGTGGGACAAATCACGAATACGCTGCCACTTCGTCATGGTGCAACTGTCAAACTAAGTAAATCATTTTCTTTTATACACAGCCTGCTACGGTATGAGCTATACACGCTAACTTGAAAGTACTCATTAATGAGTAAAAAAAAGACCCATTTTGAAGAAAAGTGGCTTAACTCATTAATGATTAAACAATTTGACCCATTAATGAGTATCTGTTACCCATTAATGATTAACAATTACTCAATCATGGGTAACAGATACTCATTAATGGGTAAAAAATTTACTCATTTAATGAGTTAAGCCACTTTACTTCAAAATGGGTCTTTTTCAACCATTAATGGGTACTTTCAAGTTAGCGTGTAGGTTACGTGCATGCAAAGAAAGCCAAGGCATTGTAAGCACAGGTGAAACGGGAACTTTATTTGTACGATGCTGCAAACATTATCACGCATACGGTATACACTTTAAAACAAAAATACTCGAACACATACCCATTTTATCCATTGAGAATTGCATATTTCGGTCACGACTATTCTGAATCACCCTGTATGCTCGTGAGATTTTTGAGGATAATTCTAAATGTGTTTTAAGGTAAATTTAGAAGGCATCTGGTAGTTCCTAGCATTGTTTTAAGTACCTTGAAATTCTGGGCTACCTTAGAAGTCTGATTTACTTTAGAACTCTGAATTGCATTAGAATTTCTGAATTTTAATGTAATTCTGAAAAGAGTTGATACCGGCGAATTACTTGTGAATTCAAAGGGAAACTTTACTTTACCCATTTCCAACTGCATATACGAGTCGGACTTATCGATGCTACTGAAAATTTTACTGCTGCCAAGTTTCACAAATATGGTCTGCGGTTACGGGTTGTAAATATTCGTTTAATCTAGAGGAATAGCCGACCATGATCTGGCGGCAGCCCACTAGAAATAAGCCATTGCTTATTCTTCTGCTCCTCCTTCTTCTTCTTCTTAGCATTTTAAGCTTATTTCTTATCGCATATTAGCTTATTGCGTGCTCTCAACTTAGCATTCTAGATGCACTTCAACAGTTATCAGTTATCTTTCGTTGCCTGTACCATTTTTGTATTAGTAAAATTGTGTGACAAGTACAATCATACTCTATGCCCAGGGAAGTCGAGAAATTTTCCAACCCAAAAATTCCTAGACCGAACCGGAAATTTAACCCAGCCACCTCCAGCGTGGTCTTGCTTTGTAGCTCCACTTTAACCTACTGAGCTAAGGATTCGTGGAACCGTGACTGAAGCTGGAAACCTCGGTTCGGTTACTACATCGGACCCGAGATCGGTGTTGCCGGATGAGGGAGAGCTCACCGAAGCCCCTCTTGAGGACTGCTGGAGCAACGTGAAAGCAGCCATTAACAGCGCTGCTGAAGGCGCCGTTGGGTTCTTGGAGCGGAATCGACGGAACGATTGGTTCGACGAAGAGTGTCAGACGGTTTTGGACGAAAAGAACGCAGCGCGGGCGGCGATGCTGCAGCAAGGAACCCGTCTTAATGTGGAGCGATATAAACAGAAGCGAAGACAGCAAACCCATCTTTTCCGGAATAAGAAGCGCCGCCTGGAAGAGCTGGAGTGCGAAGAAGTGGAGCAGCGTTTTCAAGAAACACGCAAGTTCTACAAGAAACTCAACGCATCCCTCCAAGGCTTTGTGCCGTTAGCAGAAATCTGTCGGGATAAGGAAGGGGGTATCTTAACGGACGAACAAGAGGTGATTGAAAGGTAGAAGCAGCACTACGATGAACATCTGAACGGCGCAGAGGTGGAGGACCAAGGTGGCAGAAGGAATGGCTTCGTCGGTACAGGGGATGAGGGGGACATGCCAGCTCCCACGATAGGTGAAGTTAAGGATGCTATCCGACAGCTTAAGAACAACAAAGCAGCTGGAAAAGATGGTATCGGAGCGGAGCTTAGCAAAATGGGCCCGGATAAGTTGGCCACTTGTCTGCACCGACTAATAGTCAGGATCTAGGATACAGAACAACTACCGCAGGAGTGGAAAGAGGGAGTAATATGCCCAGTATATAAAAAAGGCGACAAACTAGAATGTGAGAACTATCAAGCGATCTCTATTCTTAACACGGCCTACAAAGTGCTTTCCCAGATCATCTTTCACCGTTTATCGCCGCTAGCCTGCAGATTTGTGGGAAGCTATCAAGCCGGTTTTGTGGACGGGCGATCAACAACGTTGCGTCAGATCCTGCAAAAGTGTCGTGAATATCAAGTCCCTACGCACCACCTATTCATCGATTTCAAGGCCGCTTATGATACTATTGTCTGTAAAGTCTATGGAAGATTATGGACGAGAATGGTTTTCCCGGGAAGCTGACCAGACTGATCAGGGCTACGATGGATGGTGTACAGTGCTGCGTGAAGATATCGGGTGCGTTATCGAACTCGTTTGAAAATCGTGAAGGACTTCGACAAGGCGATGGTCTTTCCTACCTCCTGTTTAACATTGCGCTAAATGGTGTTATGAAACGTGCGGGCTTTAACATGGGGGGCACGATCTTCAATATGTCCAGCCAGTTCATCTGCTTCGCTGACGACATGGCATTGTCGGAAGAACGTTTCAGGCCGTGGCGGAGCAGTACACCAGGCTGAAACGTGAAGCAGAGAATTGGATTAAAGGTGAATACGTCGAAGACAAAGTATCTGTTAGCTGGAGGAACCGAGCGGGATAGGGCTCGCATAAGCAGAAGCGTGGCAATCGACGGAGATGAGTTCGAGGTGGTGGATGAATTTGTGTACCTCGGATCATTGGTGACGTCGGATAACAACTGCAGTGGATTCCACAAGACCCTGAGGTCGGGTAAACTTCACCTCTGTACTAAATGTACCATGTACAAGTCGCTGATCAGACCGGTAGTTCTCTACGGGCACGAGACGTGGACGATGCTCCATCTTTGGCGGGGTATGTGAGGACGGTGTATGGAGGCGAAGGATGAACCACGAGCTGGCGCAACTCTATGGCGAACCCTGTATCCAGAAAGTTGCGAAAGCTGGACGGGTACTATGGGCGGGACACGTTTTAAGAATGCCGGACAACAATCCCGCAAAAATGGTGTTTGCCTCGAATCCGGCCGGTATAAGACGAAGAGGAGCACAGCGAGCAAGGTGGCTAGACCAAGTGGAGCAGGATCTTGGAAGTGTGGGACGGTCAAGAAATTGGAGACAAGCAGCCACGGACCGAGTGAATTCTCGTAACATTGTGATGCAGGTGCAATCCTGAGGGATGTCGGACCAGGATAAGTAAGTAAATCGGACCACCAGTTGAGCGGCAGATTCGTGGAACCGTTACCGAGGCTGGACACCTCGGTCCAGTCACGACAGTAGCTTTCCAGAATAATCTGAAAAATTACCTCAGAATTCTTTAGAAAATTAATTGGATTTATCCTGAGCATTCACTTGGTATTGTTCTAAATTTCTCTTGGAGAGCTTTGAGTGTGTTGGTTTATTTTCTTTAAATTCCGTTATAATTGCTTATCTTTTGACAGGTATTTCTTCTACTACTTGCAGACTTCATCAGTGCCAAGTACAAGTTGAGTACTTGGCACTGATGAAGTCTGCAAGTAGTAGACGAAATACGCGTATCTGTCAAAAGATAAGCAATTATAACGGAATTTAAAGGAAATAAACCAACACACTCAAAGCTCTTCATAAAGGGATTCCGTTAAGAGGTTCGACAAATTTAAAAGATTTCTCTTGGAGCTCTTTTCATAATTTCCTTGGAATACTTACAAAAATGACATGAATTCCTGTGTAATGCTCTCAAAATTCCTATGACATTCTCCTCAGAGCTCCCTTGGAGTTCTTCTAGGAAATATCTTAAAATTATCCTCAGATACCCCTTGGATTCTGTTGGAACTGTGTTTTGAATTTTCTTTAAATATTCTACAGAATTGCCATTGCATTATTCTTAAAACTCTTCAGGAATACTTACAGAAATTGCTTGAAGTATATTGGATTGGAGATTGGGATGTAAATAATGCAGGTGAAAAAAACATGATCGAATTTCTGATCAACAATGCAGTTAGGTGGATTATTTTCTGTTGTTACTTAAATCAAATTCTTCACACCGTAGTTTCTCATTTGTTCGACCTTAGCACACTTTAACAGGCTAACGTAAGCCTCGAACAATATTTGTCCAAATTATTAGGAGAATGTTTCAAATTGAAAATTGGAAACAACTCAATTCAACCGCTTGCACATGTTCCAGATCGTGCCAAATGTGCCATCATTCTTCAAATCCACTAGCAGTGTATGCTTCCGCTATAATAAAGGTGTTAAAAAGTTCGATCCTGTTAATCATTAACCCTAATTGGATTGTTACATTCAGAAGATGCGCCGTGTTAATTTCTATTCGCCTTGCTTTTGCAAATAATAATAATACGCTTATCAGTGTTCAAACTAAACTGAAGTTAATGAGATTTGGCATGCACGCTAAAGCTTGTATTCTGCATGCTCGCAATTTATCGAGATTCAATATTTACACCCCCACGAAGCGTAAGATTAATTTTCCAACTCTCTCGTCCCATTGCAGAACGTTCCGGCCATGATCCGCAAGAAGAAACGTGAAACCAAAGACTACAAACTGCGCGTCTTTGTCGGCATGCTGTTCCTTATCATCGTGTTTCTTGTAAGTATACCTACAGCCCACTATCAACATTTGCAATTACGGGAGATAATCTCCCTATAGAAGAAGAAGTCGCTTCGGTTACGTACCATCTAACTAACGCTGTTTGTGTTTGTTGTGTTATCCATTGCTCTTGAACGGTTGAAGGTCGGCTACGCGTACATCATGTACAACCAGAAGTTGCTGGCCAAATCGTACTTCGAGAGCATCAAGCTGCACACGAAGACACGAGCGATGCGAATTCTGGATGCGAAGGGATATGACCTCCTGACGGGGAAGTTGGGAATAGATCTCAACATCGAAAAGCCATACAAGTGCTTGCCGGAAAATCTGCGGAACGACGGGAGCCATTGCTACGAGTGGAACTCGGTGGCAAGATTGTACATGAATTTGGAGAAAGCAGAATCGAACAGTGAAGTGAAGTGCTACAGCTTTAGTTGGGAAACGCTGGTGAATAACTTCTATCCAACGGATTGTTTCGATATCGGGGATGGCGTTTACTGGTACGGCGGAGGTCTTACCAAGGGCGTGGACTATCTGCTGAACAAGGCTTCGTTTGATTTTTCACCTTTTGTGACGGGTGATACCAATACCAAACAGTGGGGTAATGCGGTTAAGAGGTTCTTTTTGAATTCGAAAGGAATCGCAATTCTGGTGGACGACAAAACTCCTCTATATGTCAGTATTAACAAGAATGACAGCCAGCAAATTTGTCTGCGAGGCAGGAATGACGATTTTGCGTTTGTGAATAAGTTTACCAATTACTCGGCATTGAACTATCGGGTATGCACCGGTCCGGACATAATAATTGCCCATGACAATCTCACTCGGATGAGCTTGTGGGATGGATTGACAGAAAACGACAATACCATCATCAAATCTCTTCTTCGGGAACCGGTGTGGCACATTCCAGCTTATTCTCAGGAAGAGCTGACCGAAACTATAATCTACAACTACACGGAGCACGTGATCGCTTCCGGATATCTACATGTTGGTCATGTCTTGATCAATGAATTTTGGCAGAAACATATCGGCGATTTCATGTTTGACCCTGACCGTTTTCCCACGTTGGAAGATACCGTAAATATACTGCACCGGCGTGGATTCCGAATCTCCCTTACAATCCAACCTTTCATCAGCACTGAAAGTGACAACTTCCTGGAAGCAGTTGCCAAGAAGTTTCTGATTTACGAACGTAATTCGGAACGTAGCATTCCCGCTCTGACGCGCTACAAAAGCCTAGCTAGCGCTGGAGTTCTCGACATCACCAATAACGCAACCATTCCCTGGTTAAAGGATCAGCTGAAGAAAATTACGGAAACCATCGGCATAGACTCGTTCTATCTGGATTTCGGTAATGCCTACAACATGCCGAGATATTATCAATGTTCGAAAACACTAGACAATCCGGATCAGTACAAATCATTCTTCATGGATCAGGTCAAGGGTAACCTGAAAGTTTTTGGAGTTTCAAGTGGTATTTCAATCCCACATCCTCCGGCGTTTCTTAGCCTTCCGCCGGTGAACAGCTCTTGGAGTGGTCTGCAAACCATCATTCCAACTGTCCTCTCTTACGGAATCATTGGCTATCCACTCATAATGCCAGGACCGATCGGGGGCGATTTTGTGCTGTCCTCAAATTACACAAAAATGCTTTCCTTCTATCCAATGAGATCTCCTCCACTGCCGGAAATGGAGCTGTACATCCGCTGGCTGCAGATGGCCACGTTCTTACCGGTGATACGATTCACGCATCTTCCATCGGAGTATCGGAACGACTCGTTGACGGAAATCGCCAAGGAGCTCTCGGTGATTCGTCAGAAAACTGTGGTCCCTATGTTGGAGCAATTTACCAGCGACGCGTTGGATACGGCGAAACCGATTATTCGGCCACTGTGGATGATGGATTCCAGCGATCCGAACTGCCTGTTCGTTGACGATGAGTTCACGATCGGAGATGGAATGATTGTGGCGCCGATCATCTACCGGAGTGACACCAGTCGGGAAGGTGAGTTTTCATATACCTGGTTTTTATGGGGCTTCTTCTAATGATTGTTTCAAATTCCCTTATTGCAGTTTACCTCCCACAAGGCGTCTGGAAGGACGGAATCGATGGATCTCTACGCAAGGGCAACCGATGGATTCACAACTACCACGTTCCGCTGAACAAGGTGGCATACTTTGTGAAAATGCCCGACAATACGCGCTTCTAGGGTGGTGACCATCCGTGGTCGGTGGCTGCGTAGTCTCAAAACGAACATATTCTCAACAGGAATTTCTTCCATCCGCTCACAACGAAGGAAGGCTTGTCGAAAGTTAACGAAAAATCGTTTTTAATTTATCGTGTTTTATGCATGCGTGTCTGTGAGTTTGAGTGTGTGCCTGTGAATGTAGCAAGCAATCATGCAAGTATTAAAAGTATGTTAAGTTTCGTTTATACCGCTGCGATTACTACTCAAGTACTCATGTAAAAGAAAATATTTTTAATTCTGATTAAATTGAGTAGATTTAAGGTTACTGCAGTGAGAGTAGTTTGTTTCTATTCGAAATCGTCCACTATTTTCTTGGATTTATGTAGATTTCAAAATTAATTTTTAGTTGTACTTCATTCCTAACAGTCCCCCGGTCTTTCACTCCAATCATCCAGGTGCTAAGCGCCAAGCCAAAAAATGCATGTTCGATCGCCTTAGACATCTATTATAAAATAAGCTGCACATTCGCGTGATTACGAGCCTAGATTCCGTTCTTACCGAACAATAGAACTCACGCGATCGTGGTCATACCGGTGGCCACTGTTCCTAATCATACAGTTTTGTCTTGTTAAAGTTTATAAATTCTAAAGGGTAAATGACGGCTTCGGCAATTCTTCTTCTTCTTGTTTACATTTCAAGCTTATTGCTTATCGCATATTAGCTTATTGCGTGCTCTCAACTTAGTGTTCTATATGCACTTCCACCGTTATTAATAGAGAGCATTCGATGCCTGTACCATTTTTGCATTAGTATAATTGTGTGGCAAGTACAATTATACTCTTTATGCCCAAGGAAGCCGAGAAATTTTCCAACCCGAAAAATTCCTAGTCCGGACTGGGAATCGAACCCAACCGCCTCCGAGAGGAGCGACTCTATCTACCGCAGGAAAAAAAAATGTATTTTGCTGTGCTTAGCTACGCGCACGCTGAGTAGATAGAAGGGTGACGTTTCTAAAGATTTCCTACAAAAAGATGATGCGCGATGCCAGTAGATGCTGATTTGTTGAGCATCTAGAATTGAGATTTTGATGTGTCGTGCCCCTCTAGCATGGTCTTGCTTTGTAGCTGCGCATTTACCAACTGAGCTTAAGGAGGTCTTTTCGTAGATTGAGCGGAAATTGTGCAACAAATAATTGGACAGTTTTTTTTTTAACTCTGGCCAGAAATCTTGAAAATCGACTTATTTAAAAGCAGTAGCAGCTCTAGAATAGTTATGGCAAGCTACGTTAATGGATTCGAGCTCTAGAAAACTTAAAGAAGTGCAATATTAAAATGTCAATATGTAAGTGTTAGCGCCTTTGTTTCGAGGATTTTTTGGATTATCATGGTTTTTAGTTTCGGTTAAATTGTTGCAAAATAGTGGCAGGTAATGTTCGAGATAGTTGTGCAGTTTTCTCCATTAACGTAGAATGCAGCCATCAAACCCACCGAAACTTGTAAAAGCCGCTACGGCTCGGGTCACTAGCCGACAACTAACAGCAAAAAGTGTGAAGAGAGAGTACGATTTTGGTTTAAATGGGCCTAATGCCAAATGTGTTTAACCATTGGGACCTCGCTGTATTTATTACAGATCCACCCTACTGTGTGAAGTTCTGGTAGACGTACCGGAAGGTTACACTGTTCCTGACTGACGGCCCAAGTATGTCACCAACTCGTAGGCCCAGGACGTGTAACCCGGTGCTCGACATCGACTATTTCAAGCGCGCGAAGGAGAATTATGGCGCCGTGGACAGGAGAAACAAGGAGGAAGTAGAGAGGAAGCGTACGACGACCAAGGACAAGGAAGAATAAAAGTTGTGTCAGTAAATTGGAATACATCTTTGAACTTGAGTAGAGAAGTACTTGTGGAGTTTTTTCTGTGTGTCACGTGCGATCCTTCCCTGCCCCGCGTAATTGCAATCGGTAAGCGTGCCGACCCTGAGGCCATTGGTGTCAGGGAATCTCAGAAGTGCGAAACCAAACTGTTTGTCAGTGCGAACCTCAGCCTGAGGTAGGTTTTAAAAACAAACGATCAAACTGACGTTTGTCAGAAAACAAGCAGATCCAATCTTGATACCTGATCCAGCTTGGAACTTAATAATAAACAAATTCGCTATATCAAAGACCAGTGCGAAAATATTAATGTGTACTTATTTTTAGTGCAGGAGTCTAATGAGGTCAGTGCTGCAAAATCTCGACAATACACGGCGATATAGGTGGGTAATACAATGGTGACACACAAGGAAGAAGTGTTAGTTTGTTTACTAAAATGAACTATGACCATTTTGTATGGCAAGTTTTGCTATAAGAAATGCTCGTCGTGTTTATTCATGAAATTCACATCAAAGATTTGGTAAGGCATTTGTGACCAGCATACACCTTCCGGTTGTATGAAACAGGTCCAAATCTATTCAAATCCGTTCGTATGTTGTTTTGTTTTGGCAACGGAAAATAACTCACCAACACTAGCGGACCGTTAGTTCCAGCTCACCTGTAATTACCCGCCTAGCAAGGCTTGAATATCGCCATGGATCAATGGAATTGCTGAGATTTTGACAGAACTATACTGTGGCAACATCAGTATTCTACCTTTGTCCGTGAAGATGACACTGCTAGAGCTGCTCAACCAGATCTGGCGTAATGGAGAGTTTCCCACCAGCTGGCAAAATGCAATCGTGGTGCCCATTCCGAAGCCAAACTGCCTCGATACCGGACCCGCTGCGTTCCGTCCAATCTCGCTCACCAGCTGCATGGCGAAGCTGCTTGAACGCATCATAAATCGACGACTGATCACCGAGCTAGAGTCGAGCGGGCGACTCGACAAACGACAGCACGCTTTCCGTGCCGGGCGAGGCACCGACACGTACTTTTCCGAGCTCGAGCGAACGCTTCCAAGCACAGACGAGCACTGTCTGATAGAATCCCTGGACCTGTCGAAGGCTTATGACACCACCTGGCAGCGCGGCATAATCCGCACTCTGAGGTCATGGAGAATACGTGGTCGGATGCTGAACATGATGAAAAGTTTCCTCTCGGAGCGAACGATCCAGGTATCCGTTGGGGGGATATGTCTCGCCAGTATCCGTTGGAAAACGGAGTTCCTCATCGCGATGCAGCCCATCTTCCGAGTAGTGCCTAACGGAGTCTTCATTCTTTTGTACGCGGACGATATCCTCTTAGCAGTGCGAGGTGCTAAAACTGAAGGCTTACACCGAAAATTACAGGCTGCCGTCAAAGCCATCAACAAATGGACGAAAAGCGTTGGTTTCACTGTGTCGGCAACAAAGTCACATGTCTTCTACTGCAGTCCGAACGCACGACGGGATCCCGTGCGAGATATCTCTATCGAGGGAGCTCCCGTGCCAAAGACCAACCGGCTGAGGATTTTAGGTGTAACCATGGACCGAACGTTATCCTTCAAACCTCACTGCAATATGGTTAAGAAAGCATGCGAATCTCGGTTACGGATTTTACAGATGATCGGTGCAAAACTTCCACGGGTAATCGGACCTCTCTGCTGCAAGTTGGGTCAGCCATAGTTACTGCGAAGCTGCTCTACGGGATTGGACTTGTTAGTCGAGGAGGGCCAGCAACCTTGCAGACTCTCGCTCCTGCCTACAACAAAATGGTTCGCTTCGCTTCCGGAGCATTCGTGACGAGCCCGATTAACTCGGTGATGGCCGAAGCTGGGACTCTACCCTTCGAACTGCTAGCAGCACAGACCACAGTACACATTGCCATCCGAATGCTCACAAAGAATCCAAACAGCAGCACCCTACCTCTGATTACACGCGCTTCAAATCGCCTCCAAGAATTAACCGGTTCAACGCTTCCTGCTGTCGGTTCACTCGTGAGGCAGAGCAATCGCTTGTTGCACGCACGAAAACCGACGATAGTGTGGGATGTGAAAAGAAGCATACGCGCTGGAGACCCACCGGAGAAAGTTCGTCCAGTTCTTCGACAATTACTGGAGACTCGCTTCCATAGTTCAACCATCGTCTACACGGACGGCTCCAAGTGTGAAGACACGGTAGGAGCTGCATTCTTCTACGAAGGGCTATCTAGGACCTACAGTCTTCCGAACGAATGTAGTGTTTTCTCTGCGGAGGCCTACGCTATTAAAATGGCCGCCACCATCCCTAATGTTCAAAATGAGTTGGTTATTCTCACGGACTCCGCAAGCTTCCTACTGGCTTTGGAGGCTGGAACTTCCCGGCACCCTTGGGTGCAGGAAGTAGAGAGAATCGTGCAAAGCAAAATGATCCATTTCTGCTGGATCCCTGGACACGCCGGATTCAGGGGAAACTCTGAAGCTGACCGACTAGCCAATGAGGCTAGAAGACAACCAGCCATCGACGTACCGATTCCAAGCGAGGATGCGATAAAAGCGGTGAAACATGCGATACGTGGTCAGTGGAATAGGCAGTGGTTTAGCACAACAGAATCGAAGCTGAGGGAGGTGAAATTCGACACGCACAGATGGACAGAACGAGGAAGTTCAGCCGACCAGCGTATGCTTACACGTCTGAGAATCGGCCATACGCGACTAACCCACACGTTTCTTCTGAAGAAGGAAGCCCCACCGGTGTGTGAATGTTGTGGCACGGTGTTGGATGTAAAGCACATCATTCTTGAGTGCAGGAAATACGACAAAGAGAGAAGGAAAAATGACATCAGCACCAGTCTACGTGAAGCTCTGGACAACACGGAAGAAAGAACAACACGAATGCTTAATTTCCTACATAAAACGGATTTGTACAAAAAACTCTAGAATAACAAATTACAAGAACTTTAGAATAACAAATTGCACAGGTGAAAGAAATATTAAGCAACACGAAGTAGAAGACTAGAATAACAAATTAAAAGAACTGTAGAATAACAAATTACACAGGTAGAGATGGTAGAAAGATGAAAAAATTCGTGAAGAAAAGCGAATTAGGAGAGTAGTATGAAGTGAAGCGAAGGAGAAAAGTAATTGTTTGGAAGCAAAGAAGAAAAGAAGAGAGAAGCACTTACACTAACAAAAACACTTGCACACCATACACAATACACCAAACATCAAATCGAACGGACATGAATGCATCGCGGAGATGTAAAATGTCCTTAATAAACAAACAAACAAACAACATCAGTATTCTACCAATCCTCTGCCAAGAAGGAGGGTTGCTGAAGCCACCACCATTGGTCGTGTCAGTACTGTAGTTTTTATGTGCGTGTCGTCGTA